ATGAGCAGCCTGGCTCTTGCAAAAGTCTACTAGTTCTTACCTTTTTCTCCTCTTTTGTTCTTCACTTTCTCCTTGATCACCAGACACGTAAGGGCTTTCATCGGACATTAAGCAATCATACCAATGTCACAATTATCAACCACAGCTAAACAGGCTGCTTCTGCTTCATTTACGCGTGAAAGATCGCCAGGTCATGTACCCATCATTGTGCTTTGCAAGATGCCCCCTCTACCGAGGCCATCTGCCTTGACTGGATTCTAGGAAGTGTGAGAACACTCGCTATTATAACAGTATCCCCCATCTTATTGCTTGTGATAAGGAATACTTTCCTTATTACTCTTGATTCACTCTCACTGCCTTCCAAAGCCAAACAGAATCTTATCATTGGTACCAGTAGTCCTGTGAGTTTCTTTCTGTCTGAAGTGGCATTGTTGTCTCGTCGCACATCTCATCGTTCTTTAGCATTTAAACCGACGACTTCACATGAAATCAATCATCACAAGGCGTCTCCGTTAGAACATCTAGAAGCCTTAGATTACACAAGGTCATTTGGCAGTATTTGAACAGCCCTCTCGTCTTTCCACATTCATGCTTCATAACTTGAGCTAAGCTGCTCTCATCAACTGTCTTCTCATTGAAATCTGCCTGCCGACGAACATACACCAACCCCTGAAAACAGCGAGAGCTAACAACTTCCTCCCGCCTCTTCCGGTAAGAATATCATGTTGAGAAGGAAAACCAACTGTCCCCCGTGCTCTCGCCCTTTTGAGGCTTTATGAAATCTCTTCCCCTCGGCTCTCGCCTTTCTAAAGACATGTTGAATATCTTGCCCCTGAGCTCTCGCTCTTTGGGGACATATGGTAGAGTGTCATCTCACTTGTCTCCCTCCCCCTCCTGGTGGTACATGAATTCAGTTCATCCTATACTCTCGCCCTTTTCAGAACTGGTCAAGGTTCGTCTCGTAAGCTCTCGCCCTCTTGAATAGGCCTGAAATAACTTCATCCCCGTAGTCTCCTCACGCTCCAGAGGGCATGAACAAAGTCTGTTCCTCCCGTGCTCTCGCCTTTCTGAGGTTACCTGAAGACTTTTCTTGCCTCTCTTCTCCTCTTGCTTTGCCCACCTCACCATCCTTTTTCCCAAACTTCTTCCTTCCAATTCATCTACGCCCATCCATCTCTACTCTCACCCATACTTATCTCGCCATATTTCTCTCAACCTTACTCCTCGAATTCCATCACGAAAACACTCTCGAAATTCCTTCCGTTCAAATCCACACATCCAGCTTGCGGCTCCAAAAGGTTCCGTCTGGATGCCTGCTTGGTCGAATTTAGCCTTCACTCTCAACAGACAGCAATAGAGTAACGTCAACAAGGTAAGGGCTGTCACTTCTACTCCCATCGAGTTCTCCATCGTCTTCTCATCACATTTCTTCTCTTTCGCGGTTCACTGACCAACTATTCCCAGGCTTTTCGGCCCGACAATATCGCTGGCTCTTCAAGGAGCTTCAGAAGACGACGACACAGCTCTTGCGCCTCTCAACAGATTTTGAGCTTGCCTCTGGACACCAAGGCTTCTCCCTGAGATCACCGTGACAGCGCTGGAACAAGATTATTGTCCTTCATCGACGACCCCTTTGGTAAGCTTTCACTTCTCTCTTCCCTCTCGAGATCCAGCTTACGAGAGAAACAACATACAGCCCGAACGAGTCGACAAGTTTGCTTGACTTGCTCAATTCTTTGCAGATCACTGGCTCCATAGCTTCAACGATACTCCAGAAAAAGGGCACGCACCTGCTTCAACATCCGACGATACCGTCGAGTTTATTAATTTTGCTATCTCGGTATGTAGCATTTCTCATCAACCACTGATACTCCCCTTCTTCCCGCGCCTGTTTTGTTTGCTCTCCTTCTTTCTTACTGCGACGAAAGTCACATAGCAAGGCTGTGTGGCTCGAGTCGCTGTGGTGACCGCGGGAGCCAATATCCTCTCCCCTCTGGGGCCACGAAGACAAGTGTCGAGGGGTAGGATCTGCACATTGTTCACTCATTCGTATAGCCTCATTCCCTCCCCCAATCTTCCAGTGTCAAATGGTTTTAGCTCACTTACAGACCAACCCAAATGGGTTGGCGGGTGGGTGTTTGACACGGTGCATAGATCCAGTGATCTCACCGAGCTCACCTTCCACTTCACCTTGCCCATTTCTGTGCGTATTCTCCTGAAGATTTCCCGGGTGCGCCTCCTTAAGGGACTAGTGTGGGCTGCACCTGCCTTCTCGGAAGATATCGACTTTTTTTTCACCCTTCTTTGTTGTATCACCTACAAACCTTCCATTACTTCTACTTCCCACCTTCAAGACTTCCGGCGCTTCTGCATCACCCAGCCTCTTCACCCTCCCATCACCAGTCCAGAAATATTCCTCGAGTATTTCCACATACTTCCACACTACCTTTCGTTTCATACTACATCCTACACGCCCACACTTCCCAATTCAATCCGTCTCGCGTGGTCAAGATGGCCGACTCAGGTAGCGCTCGCTCTCGGGCTGGGCGCGGAGGCGTTTGTCTCGCCGAGCATTCGCCCCAGTTCGCTGCGACACGCGAGCCATTCCGGACGACTCCTAGCTCGTCTTCTGACAGCACCGTCCGCAATGCTGGATCACCTTCTGATGTCTTTGCGGCCGATCTTTCTAACCAAAACTCGCAGCTCAACCACAAGAGTTACCAGTTGCCTCAGCCACCGAAGTTTCAGCCGACAAACCTCACTTCCACCAAGAGTCAGGATCAGGAAAGCAACCAGAAACCAAGTCGTACTATCAGTCAGCATCCGCCGCACTTCTCAACAGGAAAGGCATCATTTCCCTCTGAGAGAACGGCATTGGCAACTCCAACTGGGCGTTCTGCAGTACAGCCAAACACCCTTGGACATCGATCTGGCCCGCTGCCGTCTTCTACATCTATTCGTGACTTCGAAGGTACCCCCAGCGCCAAGACTCCCGGTCATCATACCCCGGGTTCCTTGAACAACGACACTCGACGAATTCAACAGCATCCTGCCCCCGTCGAGGACAAAACAAAGCTCAAGCCAACTTCTGAACTCACAAAGACGAACAAGATTATCGCGAAGATGGCTACTCACTGTCATATTGACGGACCTTTGGCTGGCCCTCTCCGGGAGAGTCGCCGCTCCGAGCTGGCCAGAGACCATGTAAGTCACATTGTGCCTCGATTGGGGCCTTCTTTCACCTTGAGCCAGGCTTCTCATCTCCCAGTTTCCATCTTCGCCTTTCTTCTTTGGTTCTCACTGTTTTGGCTTTTGTTTGTTGCTCCGGACCAAATTGCTGACTTTGAGATGAAAGCCCGCTTGGATTCCCGCTCGGCAAGTTCAAGCCGGAATTATGACCACTCAGCAGGCGATCCGCCGCACTCCTGGCATTCCGGCCAACATTGCCAACGACCTTTGCGATGGCCTCCAGGTGTACTCGCAAAAGGTTAACGACATTCTTCGCCAGGCTGTCAATGAGGTCGCAGATATCAAAATCGATCTCGAGTACAACGACAAGGTTCTTTGTTCCAATAAACTGGAGGCTAGCATCATTTCCGAGGAACGTGAGCAGCTCAAGCGCGATGTTGCTGAGATTCACCGCAAGTACGAGGAGTTGGAGGATCGTCTTGCGCGCTACCACGTGGAGCAGGAGAACCACAAGAACACGGTTCTCGAGTTCTTGGCCCGCCTCGATCCTCGCAATGATGAAGAGAATGGAGACAGAGAGCAGATCGTTGCCGAGTTGCTTCAGGTTCGTTTCCATGATTCTCGTTTATGGGAAATTGCTAATGACACCACAACAGACTCTCAAGGACTTCATGGACCGCCCTAGCTCCCGCTGGATGCACGGAGAGCGTGAGAACTCTTCCAAGGCCATTGCCATCCTCAGTACCGAGAGCATCGCCGCGCTTGAGAAGGAGAACCACCCTCAGTCGGCTAAGCGGCTTCAGCAGTCTCAGGATGCACGTCGTGCCCCTGGTTCGGAATCACATGAGATGATCCCCACCTTGGACAATGCTCTGCAGCCGTTCTACCACCAGCAGAACATTCCGGGCTTTCCACCTGCTCATAATGCCCCTTCCACTTCTTTCCCGGGCATGTATGGCCCTGGCCGTCGGTCTGGTGACAACCACACCATATCTTCCGCGGGTTGGACGCGCGCGTCTAGCGGCACCCCTACTCAATATACCGGTTCTTACTCGCAAACTCGAGACATTCAGAACGGTTTCAGCGGCGGATATCAGCAGTCCAATGGCTTTGAGGGACCCAGTAACCATCGAGGCCGGTTCAACATGCCGTCCCGCCCTGGCACTGCCATGGGCCACCGCGGCTCGTTCCGTCCCAATGCTCCTGAGTTCCACCCGGGCATGTATGGCAACGCAGACAACAGTGGCTTCCACAATGATACGTCCTACAACATGAGCTACGGCTCAGGATCCAATGCTGGTTCTCGCCACAACTTCAACGGAGGCAGCACTCCTTTCCGCAGCCCGACTACTCGCTCCGCTGGTCATTACGGCAACTTTGAAGGACCCGGTGGTGGCTTTCCTCGCCCGCCTCCTCTGGTTCCTTCGGGACGTCAAATCTCCCATGGTTCCCAGTACGGCATGGGCTCGAGCCACATGGGCTACAGCAACGACTACTCGATGGTTCCACAGCGCACTCGTAGCCACGGCCCCAACTCGTCCGGCAACAGCCACCATACGGCTAACATCCGTCAGCAAGGAGCTTTCAGTCCCGGTCCCTTTGGCCAGGGTGGCCATGGCCCCAGCCATGCAGTCACCAGTCCATTGGCTCCCGGCAACGGCTTCAGTGAGGATGAAGGCGGCGACAATGAGCGCTATGCTCGTGCTCTTGAGGGCGTTTGGGGTCTCGCGCGGGGCTAGGTGCTCCAGTTTGCCTCGAACGTTGACCTTAGCATTCTGTCGCGCTCCAACGATGTTGCCATCCTTCGTTACATGATGAAGCTCTATGCTCCCTTCAGCGAGCAGCAGGCGTGGTCTTACATTCGTCAGCACATGAACGACCCCATGAGCCGTGCTTGTCTCATCTCTCGTACCATGATCGATCTTCTTATCAATCGGATCTTCACTTTCGAGGCCTGGGAGGGTTTCTCTGTTGATGCTGATCGCCAGCTGCGTGAGATTCGCCACGAGATGAACAATCTCCCTGGTAAGTTGTATCTGACACGTCTCTCAATGCAAGAATATGACTAACTTAAACAGCGGGTCAAGGTGGTGCTCTTCAGCTGTGTATTGATCGAGTTGCGTCCCTGGTTAACTCTTGCATCAACCATGAGCGCTACGACGCCTACCGCAACCACCGGATCGAGTACTTCCAGGCTGAGCTCCGCGAGATGCTCTCGCCGCTCTTGCTGCCCGAGTCTGAAGGCGGTCCCGACCTCGAGAGGGCCGACGAGGCGCTTTGCCAGATGTGCGAGAAGGCATGGTCCATCTCGGCGAAGATGTTTACCTCGCGATGGACTTTCGAGTTCCGCTTTCCCGATACGGAGCGCGCTTCAACACTGGAACCATGGTTGGAATCGCGCCCAACATTGGTCCGCAGCTTCTCCAGGCTGAGCATTGGCGCGTGCAGCTTGTGGTTACCCCCGTCATCACCGTCCGCAATGATACGGGTACTTCCATCTCAGTTGCCTCAATCACCAGCGCTCACGTCATCTGCATGAAGTAGTCGGTGGCTTTACGCCAGACCAACTTCGCTGCATTTCACTCTGCGTGCTTTCTTCACCAATGAAGCTTTCTCTATATAACGAGGAAGCTGCTGTACGACTTACGACTCACGACACGTTTGCGATTCTGCTTTCTCCCGGTTTCTTCCTAAAGCTCTCCAACAGCAATCATGAAAAGACCAAACAAGAGCGGTACTCTCAACTCCGCCAAAGTTGCCTTTCGAGAGCTTTCATACAGAGCCATCATCGTCACCATCACTATTATCAGCAAGGCTCTCACCGACACTGAGAAAGCAGTGCCACCAACAGGCAAGGTTCTCAACACGAAGAGAACAGTGCCACCGTCACCAGTACAGCACTGAACGCGGTCCATGAGACCAAAGAAGACGACAAAAAGCCTTAATGATCTTTGGGAATTCACAACTTGGACTTCTTCTCCCTCTGAACATGTTGGAGTATTTGGACATGCGCCCCCGACTCCTTCAGCTCCATTGGAACCAACTTGCGAGAGACCTTTGGAACATCTCGGAAAATTGGGAATGGATACGCAGAAATTGGGTTCGGGATTGGCAGTTGCGACAAAAATCAACAAAATCACCAAAAAAATCATTTGCTTTTTTCTTTCTTTGCTTTTTGTTTCCAGGGGGGATTCCCTTGGCTAGCTACACTGGTCACTGAAGTTTTCTAGCTAAATTTCGAGGAAAGATGTGTTGCGGCCGAGGGACTGGATCTGGCTCAGAAAAAATTGGCGATAGAAAAGTACCAAAAAAAATCGTAAAAGTCTTGTAAAAACCTTGGTTCTCGAAATGATGGTGACAAGGTAAAAGTGAGTAAGGCCTCTCTCTGCGTGAGTGAACTATGCAGAGCTTCAACATTGTGACTATCGCTGCCGTAGTAGGTTTATCGCACTACAATGCTGCATTTCAAAGTAAGCGACATGGAGATTTGGTTTTCACCCCAGCTATCAAATCACTAGCAATCTGAGACAAATTTTTGTATGTTGCGATAATTCATTCATTGTAACACGCTCTACTGGCGTATTGGTCTGTTCGGCATCAACTGTGCCGTCTTCGTGTATACGTTCAAGCAATGAAGACTAGGGTATTCAATCTTCATCCGTCGTGAGTCGTCCGTTTCCAACTCCATCCAATCCTCTATCCTAGGAACCACTCTATAACGTCTAGTCAGACGACTTGCGGAACTTGTTAACGACACGCTCAATACCGTCGCATCCCTTCTTCAGGGTCTCCATCTTGGGGCCGTAGGAGAAACGGACGAAGTGGTGGCAAGGGCTGTCGAAGAGATCACGGCGTCTGGAGGGGTTCAGGTCGAAGAAGATACCAGGCACGACGATGACCTTCTCCTCAAGACAGGCCTGGAAGAAGTTGAGACCGTCGGCAATGGCCTCAGGAAGACCCTCAAGGTTGAGCCAGCTGGTGGATGTCAGTCTTGGCGCTTGACCTTGTCTCTTTCAACGACAGCAACTTACAGGTAGAAAGTGGAGTCGGGGACGTATTTAATGATGAATCCCATTTCGCGGAGTCTGCGAACGACGTAGTCACGCTTGTCCTACTCACTTTATTAGGAAATTTCAAACTCGAAGCCGCTCGCTCAATCGACTTACGCGGAAGTGCTTTTGCAAGGAGATCATCTCCGTCTTGACGAGAGTAGGGTCAAGCATGGGGATTGCCGCCTCCTGGAAGGGGTGGTTGGCACCACCGTCAAGGTAGCTGCCGCAAGAGCCAATGCTAAAGTTGTGTCAGTGTCTCGGTCCACCGTTCCAATCTCATGGCCACCATTGGGTACACATGTGGAGGAAAAACTCACGCCTTGATGTATTCTGCAAGCCATGTTAGCAAGTGGTTCATTAAATTTATAGATATCAATCACATACCCTTGGGACCAAGGATCCACGCAACACGCCAGCCGGGCAGTCTGAAGCGCTTGGTCAAGCCGTCGATAATGAGAACATCGTCCTCATCGACGTCCTCGACGTTCTCAGCAGCAGAGATGGTACTGCCGTCACAGTTGCTCGTATAGTTGTAGCCGGAGTAGAACTCGTCGCTGACGAAGGTGGCGCGGCCACGGCAAATATCCTGGATCTCGGCCAACTCGGGGTTGGCAACGACACGGCCGGTGGGGTTGCGGGGGTTCGAGGTCAGAATGACAGAAGAACCACGGGAGATCTCCTCAGCGATGCGGTCAGGGTGGATGTGGTAGCCATCCTCCTCGGCGAGAGGGACAGGGATGGCGGAGAACTAAATACTCAGTGTCAGATGCTGTACATTCTTTCATGCTTCAAACTCAGAAATAGAGACATACGTTCTTGAAGAGAGACAGCATCTCGTTGTACGCCGTGTAATCGGGTAAGAAGAAAGAGAGGTAAGAGTTCCCGAGAACGGCAGCGATACGAATCAGACCGGCGCGACCACCAGGGACGATTGCGACGTTCTCCCAAGTGTACTTGCTATCCTTGCCCTCGCGGTGCATTACGTTGTAGAGGTTGGCAACAGCCTCGCGGAGTTCTCTGATACCGGCTGTAGGGCCATACTCGCGACCAGCCATGGAGATATCGATAGTGGTGGGACGGGGAAAGCAGCCAGCAATATCATCCTCAACTTCGGGGGCACCCTGGCCCAAGTTGGCCCAAGCATCGGGCTCCTCGAGAAAACCGTACTCGGAGGCACGCTCAGTACACCAAACGACACCGGTGGAGGCACGGCTAGCATCGAGACCGGCGTGGGGCTGGTGGCCTTCGTGGGCATTACGGAACTGTCTGTGAGTCTTTGACTGGACCTCTGATGGAATATGTCAGCATTAGTTTTTTCTTGAGGTGAAGTTATCATGGCCAATGGCGCCGATCAGAAAGCCAAGAATGACATCGAGCTTGAGTTGGAGTTGTGTGGAGAACGAGGGGCAACTCTGCTCAGCTCCTACCCCGCACTCAACACTAGAGCTCGACAACAAGCTTTTCTCCCATCCTTTGTGCGTATCTGTATAACTTGGTTGAAGCCACGACAAGTCGAGCAGATAGGTATTGCTTGGACGACTGAATGGAATTTGTATAGAAAGGAGGAAAGGGAGGTTTTCGTTCTTACCATTGCCTCCAACCTCGCCGACACTGAAGCGTCTTGGCTTGGGCACACCGGTGTGCCGGTTGATGGAGAACTTGCGATTGCTGAACATATTGCCTTATTGCACGCAGCTGACGAATGTGTGTGGGCTTTGTTGTGGAAGTGACGGTAGGAGATGTTAGCAGCTGCGTACTGGGAGCTGCGATTGAAAGGGGGGAAAGAGTTTAATGGTCGGTGAAAGAGGTTTCTCCGATATCACCTGGCTGGAGCAAAATCTGGGGAAGGTGAGGAGGGAAGAGTGCAGGTGCGGGAAGGGTGAAGCTAAAAACAAAAGGGGGCAGAAAGGGCTGTTCACCTTTTCAAGGTGAGGCAGCGAGGGGCACAAAAAACGTCTTATACGGGGAAGCTATGAGCTGGAAGGCTTCTCTTCACCGGCACTTGGGTCCTGACGTTGGCTTGGGAATCCCTGCAGGTCAAGAATGCAGCTCCTATGCAGGCTCTTCCAGGTGTGGAGATTTCAGAATGCGATAGCGACGCTGATAGGCCGGGGAACCGATTTCTTCCTTCTTGAAGATGAACGTGGGACTGTCACTTGACGAAGTTGAGCGGATGGTTACCGAGTCTCGCAGGGCGACGGGGGTCAAAAACAGGTCCTGAAAGGATAGTAACAGCAAACAGTGTTTGGGTCTACAGCCAGAGCCAGTCTCAGTCTAGTCCGCGCCGAATCCGTGCCGCTTGTGCCGTCTTCAGGCCAGAACCAAACGAGTCCTGAATCGTCGATCTGTCATTAGGGGCAGGTTCGGTGATGAGAGTGAACGCAGCGCAGACGACATTACAATGTTTCGCAAGGGCACTTCTTATCGAGAAACGCAACGCCAGCGCGTTTCTGTGCCCGAAAGTTGCCCCTCCTCTGCCCCTCGTTCTCCCTCGCCAACGTCAACGATTCGGGTTGGTACCACGACAGTACGTAAAAAAAGCGGTGTCTAGAGTCAGTGTCCTGCTCCAAAGCGGATCTCCGCATCACGGCCTGCCCCGTACCCAGTTGCGAATGCGATTCGTGCCCAATCACTGCAGGTAGCCGTCTCCCGTCCCGGATTGAGGGCCGCGAAGGCCTAACTTCTGGGGGGGAAATCGGCCCTCGCCAGACCTTCTCCAGAGTCTAGCAAGGGGCAGGATATCTCGATTTATCGTGAGTATCAAGTCATCAACGGCACACAAAGTGGATATTGCACAGCTTTCTGCGTTGCTGAACGCCCGGCCCAACCATGTAAGATAAGCCTGGCAACCTAGGGCGGGTCCCGAACGTGACTTGCCGGGACATTCAGGGCGTTTGTGTTGTCGTCGTGGGCCGGCGCACCCGATCATCGAATTTGATAGGTTTTCTAGGCCAGAGAGCAATGGAAATATCTGAAGAAGCCAACCAGCAGAATCATTTGGTTACCTACGACCAACAGATTGAGCCACCTCATATGGGCGCATGGACAATCAGCCATGACGCATCTGGGGGAGAGCATAACCCCAGCATTCATCACCTCGAGAATCGAGAACGGCAGTGACAGAGACTCACGAAACCGGCGACGGCGAGGACATAGTTCGCTGGGTCCCGTGTACCGAGACCTTAGCGTCACCTTGACCCCGTTCGTCGCGGCCCCTGGGAGAGACGGAAGACGGCCGAAGATGCAGGCCGGCCAAAAACAGTCAATAGGATCACGTGATTCGTTGTCCTCTCTTTCCCCGCCAAGCCACGATGCGATCCCAGAAACCCGGGTGGACAAATTATGACGCTTCATGTTTGGCATTGTTCAGATCCGAGGCATCCAGGGACTCAGTTCCTCCATTTTTCCAAAGCGGCGAACCACGTGTTGGCTATCAGGCGCACTTTCTTCAAGCCTGAGCACCAAGGAGAAGGCGGTGCATGGCGGT